GAGAGGGAACCCCAAAGCACCTATGCTAAGTCACCTCACCACAGTTATAGGATCCACCCAGCATAGAATGAGTTTCCTACCCAGCCTTTACTTTGGGCTAAAAGTAGAATATTTTCATTTTTTGACAGCCAACCTTAGAGTGGACAGTCATCCCTAGGAACAGAAGTCAGTTTAGGTCTCTAACCATTTAAATTCCCAGTCTTTGACGGGATGAAAGGGGTAGGGGAGCACTGCAGGGAAGCCAGGGTGTGTGGGGAAGTTAAGATCCATATGCCCAATGAAGTGGAACAGCTCAACTCAAAGTTTTACGAGATAAAATTCATTAAGACTTGAGTGGCACAAACAAAACTTCAGCAGTTTCCCATGACTCCCGGAGCTGTGCAGATTTAACAGGGAAAATCAGAATCCCAGAGTCTTGCCATCTGTCAGTGGATTTGATCTGTCCTAAAATGTTCTCAAGTATGTGTTTTTTGTCTCACAATCTAAGAGAACACCATATAGCGTGGAGAAATCTCTGTGGCACTGTTTTGTCCAGAAAGCGGCTTTGCTAAATCATTTCAGGCTTGGAACAGAGATAAGCTCTGTTGCATCACCTACTCTGAGAACACACCCAACTTCCTGGATTTCTGCTTCCATTTCTCTTACAATTACAGTCTTCATACATAAAGCTAACTTTACCTTTCTAAAAATGTAACTCCCATGAAAAGACTTCACATCTTTGTTTACCAATTAAAAAAAAATAGAATTAGTGGGTTAAAAATACAGGTACCTCGATCTTAAGTGGACAGTTAATGGACACATTATTAGTACATAACTAATAGCCAGGAAAAAAGTATGGAGCAAACTCAGTTTTAAAACTATGTATTTTTTCCTAACCCGGTGTCCCCAGAGACAAAGATCTAAGAAACTCATGAAAACATGTTGCTTTAGTATATACACCATCTGATGCACGTTACTGGGGGTAAATATAGGAAATCTTTTAGCATTAGTAAATGAATTAAAAAACTAAATGATTCGTGTAAAATGTTTATATATGGTATATACAGATTGGATCACATGAATCTAAGAATAAAACTGTTCCAATTCTTAGTATCTGTTATGGACATAGTAAGATACAGTACAAGATTCATTTTTAAAAAGAAGAAAAATAGCACTAATTTGAACACTGAAAACGACTCTTACAAAATCTTTAAAAACATACTTCAGAGAAACTACTAAACCAATGAAAAAGGAAAGGCTTCTCCGTCATCACAGAATATCCAAAGGAGCCACACAGCATGAAAGACAAGGATTTACTTCCCTTCACCTAAGGTGTAGACAGGATATGCAGTGGGAATTTATTCCATGTTAAAGGTATAAGGCAACCAGGTCTCCTTCCGTTTCTCTTGCATTTACCTAAAACACTATTTTATTGCTCGGCCCACTTGTAAGTACTTTTTCACCTTCGTTTAAAAACATGTCATTGTACAACTACCTACAGATGGGCAGCCCTTGGTGCTTCTATGGTTCTGCAGCTGTCACCCAAAAAGATTCCACCTTCATTTCAAACCATCTGCAGGAAAGAAATGGCATTTTCAGGATTTCGGGGTTTGCCCAGAAGTCAACACTGGCTGGGTTTGAAGAAAATACGGATTTTTAAGAAGAGATCTTAAGTTTAACCAAAATCAAACAGATTTTGCTTGTTAATAGATCTTAAAATCAGGATTTATAATCAACAAGAAAATAAAGTTTAAAAAAAAACGAAACTAAAGTTCAAAAACTACTGGGTAACTCTTTGGTTATGTAAGTATCAGCAACTTCTAAGTTTCAACTCAAAACAGTTAGTTCATTAAACTGCCAGATAAGAGTGGATCTGTTATTAATCTTTATAAAATGCTTTGCATGTTTGTGTGTACTATTTTTTTAAATGTGCGTGTACTCGAACGGATGGCACAAACTTCCACCTTTCAAATAATAAATGAATGTGTCTGCTCCTCCCTTCCCACCCCTTCACCCCTCCTTCCTCCCTCCCCATCCCACCCCCCAAGTCTTATGAGCTAAGGTCCTACTGCCATTCACTGCAAGAATATGGGCTTTCTTAATACCCACGACGTGCATTACTACTCCCCAGCTCCGTTTACAGTCACGGCCAGGTGACTTCCCGCAGTGCTTGGTGACCTGGGCTGTCTGGCCCTTCCGGCGTCAGCACTCTTGCTCCCTCCCGCCAGGAAGGGCGGCCATGTCGACCAGTCGAACTAAGCGCATCAAGCGCTGGAGCCAAGGAGAAAGGATGCCTCCTAACGCAGGAGAGTGACTTTATACAAGTTTAAGCCACAGGCGAAGATCTTTCATTGTGCACGGAAGAGATACGATCCTTCATTGTGCCAGCACTAGATTCTTTTCCTACTTCTACCTGTAACTTGTCAAAACTTTAGTCATTTTGTAGTCACTGACCTGCCTCCACGGGATCCTAATTCCAGGTCCAGAGTCTTCCATCCAGCCCTCTAAAACTCTACCTTTAAAAAGGGTCAAAAGGTTACATAATGACCTTTTAAAACACTATTCCCAGTGTTCTCAATTCTGATCTCTTAAGCCTCGAATGAGTCAAAAGGGCTTGGGATTTCAATCTTCTACACACTGGACAGGGTCCAATCAGGTTCTGAACAATTCTGCCATCCCCAGGTACTTGGTAACTTTGTGGCCACACTGCCCCCATTAGATCCAGACTGAAGGACAATTCAAGGGAGGGGTGGTTTGAGTCAGGGGAAAGAGGAAGCAATGGGGGGGGGGGGGGCACATCTAGGCTCTCTCGGTTAGCGGGGTCCAAAGAAGACGAAGAAGCCGAGAGGATCTGCGGCTGCAGGTTCTCAAGTCGGGGGGGGGGGTGAGTGGGCCTGGCCCAGCTACTAAAGGTGGAGGCAGGGGAATGGAAAGGCGTGGGATAGGAGGGGAGATCTATAATCCTCTCCTTGGCAGGAAGGAGGGGGGATGGGAGAGCTGGAGCCGCGAGGGGGTCTGGGGAGCTCACTCCCTGCAGAAGACGTACTCCGTGTAGCTGGTCCAGATCTTGTCCTCGCTCTGGTCGGTGCTGCTGGCGAAGGCGCAGGTGCCCGTGGAACTGCACGCCACCATGTGAAAGCCCGACTCGGACAGCTTGTCGAAGGCCTGCTCCAGGAAGTTGAACTTGAGGTAATAGCGAGAAGTGTAGCGCTCGGGAGGCCGGTCCGGATCCCGGCTCTCATTCAGGGTGTCGCCGAACACCTCCTTGGCCAGCGACGTCTTGCCGCACACGGTGATGCGTGCCACTCGCCGGAACTTGGCGTCCGCCTGCGCGTCCCGCCCGATAGTGTAGGAGCCGCGGTAGCCGATGGTGATGTAGCCGGAGCGCCGGCTGCCGTCCAACGACTGGGACGGCGTGAGCAGCGGGCCCGCCGCACCCCCGGACGGGCTGCGGCTAGCCAGCTCCAGCGTGGGCGACGGCGCCCCGGCCGACGAGCCCTCTTGCTGCTCGGGCTCCGCGTAGCCGAGCGGCAGCAGCTCGTCGCCCAGCGAGCCCTCCTTCTGCACCCCGCGCCGCGAGTGCGGCGGCGGCGGCCCGGGGCCGGGCTGCTGGGGCGCCCCGAGGCGGCGCACGAGCTCGGGCAGCTCGAAGTACTCGGCCTCGCGCTGCAGCCGGCTACGCTCGGGGAAATAGTCGGGCAGCACAAGCTGCAAGTCCCGCAGGTAATCCAGGATGTAGCGGAAGAGGAAGCCGTCTCGGTCCAGAAAGAAGCGGCCTTTGCTGTCCCGGGCCAGCTCCTGCGGCTGCTGCTGCGTGAACATGCGCCAGAGCAGCGAGTCGGGCACCGACACCACCGTGCAGCGCCGGGTCACATACACCTGGCCCCCCACGTTCAGCTCCACGATATCGGGGAAGAGCGGCGGCTCCGCCGAGGAGGACGACGAGCCGCTGCCACCCCCGCCGCCGCCCCCGTTGGGTAATCCACGTGTGCTGTCCGCCAGAGCCATGGCAAAGAGGTGGCCGGTCTGGGGTGGTGGCAGCGAGCGGGGCCGCGCGCCGAAGCCGCCGCCGCCTTTCCCGGACGCTGGCTCAGCCCCGCGCTCCGGCCGCCGCCGCCGCGAGCCGCGAGCCGCGCAGAGCCCCCGAGAACCCCGGTGCGCTCGGCCCGCCTCACCCGCGCGCTCCAGGCGAGTGTCGGGTCTCGGTCGGCGCGCGGCTTAAGTAGGGCCGCCAGCTCCGGCGCCGCGGCGCGCAGGAGGCGGGGGCGGCCACCGAGCGGCGGAGCCTTGCTCCCCCGGGCGGGGGGGGGGGGGGACGGCGGAGCGGGGAATCGATTTGCATCCTAAACGCTGACGCCGCGCCCGCTGCTGGCTCCACCCCGGCTTGCGCGCGTCGGGGGCGACCCGACTCCCCAATCGCCCCACCTCCACCTCGCCGGGCCCGCGCTCGAACCCTTTCCGCTCCCGCCCAACTTTCTTCCCTTCGAAGATGGACAGAGCCTGGGACGGGCCGCTTCGGAAGACGAGCTTCCTTCGGAGGGGCCGTCACTGCACCCTCTCCCCTCCTAATCCCGCCTGGAAGGAGGACGTAAACTTTTCGGCTCCCCCCGCCCGGGCAGCAGAAAAGTGCGCGGCCGCCTCGGCCCGGTCGCCTCAGGAACTGGCCGCTTTAAACACTGGGGCTGTGGCGCTGCCCTGGTCGGTTGTGTTGTTGCTGAAAGTCCTCAACAGCCGGCAACAATGTGGAGGGAGGAAGGGGCCGCCCCAGTCCGGAGGCGGCCAGATAGTGCTGACGTTAACGAGTAGCCTCGAAAAAGCCCAAGAAACAAAAAAACTCACCTCACTCTCCAGCCGTAGAACTGTCACCGATAGTTAATTTTCTGGGTGAAGAGGCAAACTCATTGGTTGAGAGACCTCAAGGTAGGAGGAAATGAGCTGCAGTGGCCACGGGAGAACTTGGGTGCGCTCGGTGGCGCGTTCCCCTGAGGATGGAGGCCAGCCTGCCGGGCGAGTAGGGAGGCCGAAGTAACCAATCCGCCTGCCGCGCCCTTTCAGCCTTCGCTGAATCTCGCCGCAAAACAAGGAGGTTTTACGGATCTAACGTAACTTGGAAAAACCACCTTTCAGCCCCTGCGTGTTTCTCCTCCCGAAGGTCCAGGTGCGCCTGCTCTCTCGTGCACCGCGGTCATTCCAGGCCGTCCTCTGTCTCAGGCCTTTGTACTTGGGAAGGCCTTCCCTAGATCCCACCTGTGCTGTAACTCCTCCCTCCACGTTTGCATTCATGGGGCACGCGGCAGCCCAGAGCACTCCTTCTCCCGCACCGCCCCAAGCCTTCCCTGGCTTCCCAGGCCGAGGAGCCCTCTCGATCGCTCCCTCCACGTGCCAGCCTACCCAGGCCCAACACATTCTGAAATTTCTTATTTGTGGTGATTATCTGACCCTGACTTCGGAAAGTAAAATATAGCGCCACTGAGCACTACAGAACGAGGACAGAAGAGAGGGCGGTGAAGGATGTTAAGAAATCACCGTGTCAATGACTACGTGTTGTGCACCTCTATTTGCCAGCGCCAGATCGTGAAGAATGCAAGGTTGAATCTGATCCACAGCGCTTTCCGTGTAGCTCAGTAGGCAAAGGGTCAGAAGTCTGAGCAGTTGTCAGATCAGTTTGAAGTACGGACCGTCAGTCAGGATAAATCAGGGGAGATCTTTGTTCTCGATAAAAATGTTTACCCTTGTTGTAACTACCCAATGAGCTTTACAATCTTCTCATGGGTAAGTGTCATTTTTACTTTGAAATGTTTATGTCTGCTGAACAATTATCTCATTCATGTCAGAATGCTGAAATATGATCAAGCCCCAAACCAGCTCACTTAATTGCAAGTACAGACTTTGATGCTGAATATATTTGACCGTTCTTTTTTTGTTTGTTCTTTGGGAGAAATAATAGATGACACAAAAAGTCCCAAGTTCCAATGTTGAATTTCTAGATGGTTGTGCTACTATTTGGCATATCAGTGTCACGAGACTGACAAAACCAGTCTCTTTTCTATAAACCCCAGAAAAGCCTTCTTTCTGTACATATTTTTATATCATTACTTTGTTCATTGTACCGGCAGATCCTTTCAGTTCTGCCCTTAAAATACTTCCAGACTATTAACAAGTTCTTCCCTCCCACAGCTCCCCACCCACCACCCTGGACCAAGCCACCCATCATCTCTTACCTGGATTATTGCATTATTGTCTGCTAACTGCATCCCCCTTTGTCCCCTACAATATTTTATCACCAGAACAAAAGGAGGGATCCTCTTATAACCTAAATCAGATGTCTCTGTGCTCAAAGCCTCCCAGTGGCTTCCCATCTCACAAAAGAATAAAAAACAAACTCCTTTCATTGGCCTACAAGACTCTACAGGATTGGAGCTGCCCCCCGCCTCCCCAGCACCTCTCCACCCATCTGCTGCCACTCACCCAGCAGTTTGCTGGCTTTAGCCACTTCAGCCTCCCCACTGTTTGCTCAGGACCTTTGCACTCCCTATCTCTTTTGCTAAAAGGCTTACCCTCCCCCACCTTATCTTCCTCACCTTCTTCAGGTGCCTCCCTCCTCACCTTCTTCAAAACTGCAGCAAGACCTTAATCACTTTATTTAATATAGCGCAGCCCCACCCAAGCAGCTTCCCTTTCTGTTTTCTGTTTCCCTGCATTAGAATGCAAACTCCAGGAGTTCAGGGAGTTTGCTTGATTCATTAGCACATCCCCAGTGCCTAGAATAGGCATATAATAGGCATATTCAATAAGTATCTGTTGCTCACTTGCTCATTTGACCAATATACATTAAGTGCCTTGTACTCAGTGTGTTAAAACATAATCTCTGCCTTCTTGGAGCTTAAAGTGTTGTGAGGAAGAGAGATAATAAGTATATAGATAGGTAAGTCCACTTTAGGTAGAGATAAATGCCATGAAGTAAATAGAATTGTGAAATGAGATAGAGGGACTGAGAGTGGAGATACTATGTATAGACTGGCCGGGAGGGCCTCTCCATGAAAGTGACATTTGAGCTGAATGACAAGAAAGAGAGAACCATGAGCAGTCCTGGAGGAAGAGCATTCCAGGCAGAGGGCAAAGCAAGTTAAAGGCATCTAGGTAAGGAATGAGCTTGGTACATTTCAACAGTATAAGTTTATCTGTGGTTATCATCTGCTTGTATTATCATCGGCTTGTATCTTGTGAATCTTCAAAGTACCCTTGAAGAGATCAGTATAAGCTCAAATGTGAGAGATACTGCATGCCTACACACCGGCAGCATACTACCTTCAGTCTCTACCAACTGACATAACCCGTTCATCCACCACAAGCTAGTCCTACTGCAGGAAGCCATTGGTATTTCTTCACAGAAGTCTAGGTTGTGCATGAGGGGCATAGTGATGAAGGACACAGGTGATCTGAGACTGGAGAAATACTTTTCTGGCCAATTTGGTATGTTCTATTTCTTGTCTGTTGGTTAGTATCATGAAATTCAAGAAGTGTAACTGGGGAGCTTTAATGCTGGGACTTAAGGGCCTGCGTGTTTATAAGCGAAGGGAGGGCCATAACTCTGGCTTGCGTATGTTAATATACTTAAGGTAAGGGAGGAGTTGGGAAATCGCCAGCTCTGTGTCTAGTCTCAATCCAGTTTCTGGTGACGGGTAGATGGATGGTCATTGTTCCTTTGCAAGTGACTCGTTGCACTTTCCTAAATAAGAGACGGTGCTTTGTCCTTTTGTCCTAAAGCGTTAAGGTATGGGAAACCTCTCTGACCCACGTTCCTATCCGATTTGTATCTCCCCCCACCTACCACCTTCTCTTCCAGTCAACTTCCCACCCCACTGCGCCCCCCATGCACTTGGCAAATATTCTGCACACTAAAGATCTGAGCAAAGAAATGAGGATGGTTATGAGAAATATAAAGTTAAAAGGGGAGGAAGAGCTGGGTGAAATGAAGTGAGCGCCTCGGAGGACTGAATAAACTCAACATGAACGATCAGTAAGCTGTAAGACACCACTCGAATGTCAGAACCCCGATTTTCCACCGCCTGTCAGAGGGCCTGACAAGCCTCCGCAATAAATACCGAAGGAGTAAACGAATGGCAAAAACACTGAAATGAATGCTCTGAGGAAAGGGGAGAAGAGACAGAATCAGAAATTACCCCAAATAAATGTTTCATTCATTTATCATCCTTCCAATGTGTGTGAATCCCTTCTGAACGCAGCCTTTAAAATTCATTGACTTGTTGCTTTCAGAAAAAGAAAAGAATTGGATGCTGAACTTGAAGTAAAGCAGGGAATAAAAGAGTCTCAATAAAGATCCAGCAAAATATACACCAATATCTAATCCTTAAAAAAGAGAGAGAAAATGTTAAATGAGGGACATAGCCAAAGTCTAGGACATGGCCTAGAAAATGAAGGAAATCCCAACATCACTATGATGTGACTTTTATAGTTAATAGAACCAAACACAGGAAAAAAATTAATAATGTTGGAAATTTTTTAATTTTTAATTTCCATATCCTTATAAATAGTGTCTGAGACTTTTCCCAGAAACAATTAGTAATATAACAGCAGGCTCCATATAGCACTATGTGCTGACCCTGTTAGATCCATCCATGGCATTAGCACATTTCATCTTTGAGGCTAGTACTATAACTACCCAATTTTTAGAAGATCATATGAGCAAATGAGTGGTGGAGCTGGGATTTGAACCCAGGCAATCTATTTCAGAATTGATGCTTTTTTTTTAAGATTTTATTTTTCCATTTGAGAGAGAGAGAAAGAGAGAGAGAGAGCATGAAAGGGGGAGGGTCAGAGGGAGAAGCAGACTCCCTGCTGAGCAGGGAGCCCCAAAGCAGGACTTGATTCCGGGACTCCAGCACCATGACCTGAGCCGAAGGCACATGCTTAACCAACTGAGCCACCCAGGCGCCCCAGAATTGATGCTTTTAAATGCTGTCTTTTCTAGCTTCTCACTTCTACAAAAGCTTTACATATATGAAGGAAAGCGGTTCTATTATTTTCCCCACTTTACTGATGAGGTACCCAAGGCAAAGGGAGGTTAGGTAACTTGACCAACATAATGCAGCTGTTTATCCCTGCCACGGGCAGAAATGGTGCTCTAGTGTCCCTGTGCTTGTGAGCTCCTGGACTGGTGACTGAAAACTCAAAATAGTTGCTGTGAAAGAACTAGGATTAGGCAAGAGTGAAATCCTTGGCTCTCACTTCTGCCTTCTATGGATAGCACAGTCTTGCCTCCAGGAGGCATCTCCAAGGACATATTTGACCCCGCAGACAGAATAGACCCACTATTGCCCTACTCTTCGCCCAACCCAGTCCCACACGTGATAAATAAGATTTCATTCGTGGCCTTTGAAAATACCATAAAGGTTTGCAAAGCATCAGCTTCTTAGTATGTTTACTCCGATCTCATTACTCTAGACAAGGATAAAGTGAGCTGGTGAAAAGTGCTGAGACCCAGGCTCTCGCACTCCAGAGCAAGCAGTACCCACTGGTCTTCTGGGGCTTGTGAGATCGAACAAACGGGTTCTACTGGTGGCTTTACATATCAAACCGAGCACAGAAGTAACTGGACCTCACACACACGGGTGACTCTGGGATTTCTCACCAAGGCTAATTATTAACACCACTGGTGTTTCCTAAGAACTTGAAGGCCTTGGTTTCAGACTGTGGGACTTCACCAGGAGGTTAACGATGAGTGAGTTACCACATTCTATTCCAGTGCCCCACTGTTTTGAGGGCTTTCGTACTGTCAGCTTCACTTGATTATTACCACAGTGTCGGCAAGTGTCATTCAACAGTGTCCCAAATGCGGAAGGAAGCTCAGAAAGGTTAGATGACTTCCCCTGCCCCTCAGGCAGCAACAGAATGCAAACGGTGCCTCTCAGGGAGCTGGATGCAGGGCAGGGATGCCAACAGAGGCTTTGTGACTCGACATTCAGTGCTCTTCCAGCTTTTCAGCAGCCCTGTCAAATCTACTCAATTTCACGCCCCACATGAGGATTGTCATTCAAAATAATCACCTTGGAGACTATATGCTTATTTGGGAAATGTCAGAATCGCTCACCATTTTTGGCATATCTGTTAGGAATTTTCTTCAGAGCCAGTTTAGACAAGAACATCATTGCGTTACTGTATACGTATGCCAAATTTGGGGTCAATCTCTTTACAAGCCTGTAAAACTAGGCACCTCACTGCAGGACAGACCCACGTGTCTGAGAATAAATTAGGACAAAACCAGTTTTCACGAGCGTGAAACCAAGATGATGATTATCAGGTATTCACCTTTTGACACGGGGCTTTAAGGATCTCATCCCCGGAGTTCTCTGTATGCTGAATAGTATTGAGGTTAGGTTTTGCAGAAGGAAGAAGGGCTGATTCAACCGCAGAGATTTTAATATGTGGTTCCAGAAAGTCTGCATTTTTCACTGTGAGGTTTGGACAAGAAGCCAAGCCACTGGCTAGACTGTAATGGGCGACTTCTTATGTAATTGTAAGATCATTTGTTTGATATAATTAAGTGAGGGGAGGGACGTTTCCCTAATTTGCTTTCCAGTTACTGCGGAAATATGCATGATATTTCACAGTAAGGAAATGGCCTCAAACTCTGCTAAACTTTAAATTGATATTGCCCATTATGATTTATGTTTAGAAAATAAGTTTCTTTTCCTCAAGTATATGAGAAAATCATACACTTTGGAGTTGGATGAACCTGTACGCTTCTCCTG